ACTTGTCTTCATATAAATCAATGCATAGATTGCTGTTCATATGATTGTGGTTATGGTCGTACTTAATGAATCCCTAATCTCTGCCATTACATACAATGAAACAAGAAATGGTAAAAAAAAGTTCAAACAGAGCAATGTAATACAATACACTATTAGACATTATTGCAAATAATAAATCAAAAGTCCATCCCATGTGTTAGTGATTTTTTAAATATTTTAAGGCAGGAAATGAGTTTTCAAATTTAGTTATGTTTCTGGGTTGGGACCCCCCAGACACCCTGGAAGATTTGGTCCCCCCCCCAATGTTGACTCCATGGCTACGGCCTTGCTCCACACACACACTCACACGCACGCACACACGCACACACACACGCACGCGTACTGTATCTCCTCCACCAATCGCCCCTAGTGGTGGCGAACGGGAATGAGTGGAAGGAATGTGGCGATTCGCTTGTCGGTTTTTATTTACTGATTACAATATCTCACCGGGATAATCCCTTGAGATGGAACAGCTCGTTCGCAAGAATGTTCAAGGTTGTCATGTGACACATACACAGCAGACACCCGGTGACACGTGGACGAATATCTGACAACAATGCAGTCGACGCCGGTATGAAGCTTCTTGCTGGTTCTTTTTTGCAACGTTGTTTAGGCTGGCTCTGAGTAGGCATTGTTGGCGTAAGGCACTACCACTAGAGTACAAAGTATAGCCATCCAGACTGATCCGATATTATTGTACACCAATATTTTAATTTAATCCGACGAACATGTTTTGCAAATGTTACGAGGACAACATACGGCGATGATGTAGGATCCGGCGTTTCGAATCATTTAATGAATACCGTCTCGGACTGTTCCGGCTGTAATTAAGTGTCAAAAACCATGAACAATAGCTGCAAGACAGCGCGCATGAACGTCTCCCAGGCAATCGAACGCACAAATACAAAGCGAACATCGTCAGCATCATTATCATCACCAGCAGCCATGGTAAATCCACTGAAGGACGAAGCCCTGCCAAAATTGCCACCACCTCTTGATTCCGCGATGTAGTAATCTAACCGGTCACCTGCGCGCGGATAGATTTCATCGCTCTGTTTACAACCGGTAGACGACCTTTCTCGCACACATTCCGTCCCGTGGCTGTCACTCCGTTATCATTCCGGGCCATCGTTCCTCGTTACTTTTCTTCACAGTTCGGATGGTGTCCTTTTTAACCCACGCGTGTTCTCTGACCCGTACTTTTATTCCTCTGTGTAATGCCATGCCACGCGTCTACCGACGCTAATGTGCAAACTTGCAAAAAAATCGTACCGATGAAGGCTGTGGTGACCAACAGCCACGCCCGACCTCCTTGCCAAAGGGACTCATTTGAGGCCGAGTAGACGTAGGAGAGGCCCGTGAGTGGTTCCAGCATTCGCCACCGCTATTGGTGTTGAGCGGCAGCCACCCGAGTTGGATTCCCCGCTTAAGATACATAACGCGCGCGCGCACGCGCACACGCGCGCGCGCGCAGCAGTTGCAAATTCCGTTTCGCACGCTTGCATGACTTCCGCGCGGGGCGGGCATGCGCCGCGCGCGCCATATATCAGACGGCAAACGCGACGAATCGTACGGTCCCTCGACTCGACGTTGCACGTAAAGGCACTGTGGGGGAGGGGGAGGGAGCCGAGCGGGGGGGGGGGTCGGTGGGGGGGGGGGATAAACGTTATTTTTAGGAGGGCACGCAGTGTTAGTCCCTTTTTTTTACAGCAGACGGGACCTGTTGAAGTTGAGTTCAGCGTGTTTTACGCGGTCTCCATAGGGCCACGCTTCTCAAAAGGCACGTGTGCTAAGGAAGCCGTGTGTCTCCCGTGCTGGCTTGCCCGCTCTCTTCTGCCTTAAACAATGCTGGGTTTGACAACATGTTTTTTTGGCCGGGGGAGGTGTGAATACACGTGTGCACGCGCGCGTGTGTGTTATGAAATGTTGTGGGGGTGGGTGGGTGGGGGGTTGTAGCGGTTAGGGCGCTACGCTACGAACCCGGTGAACAAAGTTCGATTCTTTCCCGCTCACGACAACCAACACCTGTGACGATTATCTGAACCGGTCCTGGGCTTCTCTTAGGTCGACTCTGCCTCAAATGAGTGCCAGGTGCGGTGTGTAAACACCGCCACTATGGAGACAAAGGCGGCCGGGCGTCGTGTTGACCACCCACCCTCTCGTGTGACTTGCAGGGTGTTTCTGGCTACCAACACTTGCCCCAATAGTCTGTTAAGGCTACACGGGGAATATTTGTCTTGCAATGAAATGTCAGGTTAGTGCCTTGTGGCTGTACGCGGTCTGTCACGATTAGCGTGATCGTTGTCGTCTTCTTCTTACGCGACAGATAATGTCACACAGACCCGAACCTCACCCACACACGTGCAATCGTCACCACTAAAGTAACACACACACGTATAAAATACACAATTCCACAAAAATTACAGACATTTGAGGCTGAGTCGAACTAGAGGAGGTTCCAATGCCGATACAGATACTCGTCACCGATGTTGGCTGTGGGTGGAGATTGAACTCGGGTGTCCGGGTTAGTAGCGCGGTGCGCTAACCACTGCACCGCCGCTCCCCACACAAAAAAAACATAACATACGCACACTCAAACATCATTACTCAAAAAATATGACACACTCCCAAACAAAAACACACAAATGTTACACACACTCAACCTTCATCACACAAATAACAGACGCAAATGTTGTAATAATTATAATGCCATCCATAATACAGGTTTTGCTGGGCTAGATCGCGTAAATATATTTGTAGCGAAAGCCTACGTGTTACATTCTAATGCGAGTCTACTTTCCACACCTACCACGCAACCTGGTAAAACCTCAGTGAGGCACCCATCCCAATCCTAAACGGGATCACCTCTTCTTAAGCATCCGAGATGGGGCGGTTATTGAGAGTGATTTTGGTCGCAGACAAAAATGCGAAACCGTACCATCGAACCGTATCACCACCACATCACAAAGGCTCACTCACCAAACCGTCGTCACCCGCATTATAAATTATTCACCACAGTCGCCGATGAATGATTGCATCTGAAATCGGGGGGGAGGGAGGGCGGGTGGTAATATCACTGCAACGCAAACAACGAAAGCGAGTTGATGTAAAAAAGCACACACACACATACAAGAACCCCTAACCAACACAATAATCACAATTCACTTACATCTCTGACAACCCAGACACTTTGCCTACGATGTAAAACGATAACGACAACGACCGCACGAAAGTTGCATCACATTCGCAGACGCACGCACACATTCACAACAACAACAACCGCCATTCTCGACTAAGTTGCGGTGACATCAGCACGGCGCTCGTGCCAGGCTATGTGCACACACACACACAACATCGGCCGCGTGACAATGCCACCACTGCCAGCCACAACCCAACAGACAACAATACCATCACCAAGGCCGTCTTTAGCCGTGTATGGCTCCGACTCGCGGTGCCTCGTCAAGGATATATACTGCGAGGGGGGGCGCGAATAAACGATGCAGGCGCAGCAGCGCTCGCCCACGACCGTTTCGCTTTTCCACCACAGCTCATTGTCAAGGATGGGGAACCGACCCCCCCCCCCCACCACCACCACGGCGCGTCTCCGCCGTCATCTCCTCTTGCCTGCGTCTCTCTCGAGGGCTCCTCGAGCATCGCGGGCTCGCTCGACTTGCACACACCACACCCCCCTCCCCCGCATTAAAAGAATGAATGTTTACCATAAATCTGCATTTCCATTATCGGCCGGATTTACAGCCTTCATTACAAAGATAACGCGTGCGCGTTCAGAGGCGCGCCGTGCCCAGCAGCCGCGCGCAGTGCGCTGTGCGCGCGCGAGAGAGAGGGGGCGATCTGCGAGCGCGCAGATAGCCTTGCGCGTGCACACAGACACACACATGTGCGCGTACACACACGTATCTATATCGGTGTAGGAGGATGGTTGTGTAATGTGTGTGTATACCGGTGGTGGGGTCGAGCTCGAGGAAAATGTCACGAGGAGATGTTTTCGATGTTGTGTTAAAGGCTTTTGAACGAACGTGCGATGATCAGCTCACGCGAAGCCGCCGCTCATTTTTTTGTTTTGCGGGGGCATGACCGCACGGGGAAGATCAAATTGCAGTCCGTGTGCTCGAATGCGTAGAATCCCCCCACCCCCGCCCCCCTTCAAGTGAAGCAAGTTCGATCGCGCATCGTTACTTTGAGAGAAATCGTCACACAACAGCACAGCGCGAGAGCCCCCTAAACACAAGCGCACGAACGAAGCCTTCTTCCGATTTAGCCTAAATAATAATCCCGAAAACATAACTTTGGTACCTTTCACATGAACCGGACGTTTCAATTGTGTTTCAAGATGACTCTACGCTTGTTGTTCCGTGAGCGCTTTTATAAATAATCATCCGACGATAAATTATGATGAATGCTACACGCCGAACGTGAGATCTCTTTTCGGGGTTGTTGTTTTTTAAGATGAAAAAAAAAACATAAACAGGGGCAGGCACATCGCTTTGGCATCACCTCCGCACGCTTACGCGCCATATTGATATATGGGAATTTCTGCTATCGATCACATGACCCGCCCAGTGGCCGGCTTGCCTGCTTGCAGATAAATTACGTGTCATCTCTAGGAGAACGCTCAACCTCCACCCCTCATCCCTCTCCCCCTCCGCCCCCAACAACCCCACACCCCTCGACCCAGCTCCCCTTTTCTCCTTCTCATCCACACCCCCCACCAGCATAACCACCACCTCCTCCTTCTCCACCCATCTCCTTTAATTCAGAATTCTGACCTCCGTACGAGCGACGTTCACGCCCTACCTCGCCGCAAAATGAAAACATCACCCGGGGGTCCCTGAGCAGTGTCGGTGTTGTGCACAGAGAGACATCACTCTCTCTTCCTCTCTCTCTTCCTCTCTCTCTCTCTATCTCTCTTTCACGCACGCGCGCGCGCGCTCTCTCGCGACATGGAGCTGGAGGAGAGGGGTTGCGGAGGAGGAAGTGGAGCAGCAGCAGCAGGAGGAGGAGGAGGTGGTGGTAGTGGCCACCACCACCACCACCACCACCAGGGCCTCTACCTCCCCGCCTGTCACGGCTACTGCGACCTGGGAGCGGTGCCTCCGTTCCTGCCCGCAGTTCACTACCCGTACCCCGCGCCGAGCGCGCTCCCTTCGGGCCGCGACGGGGGCCCTTTCAGAGCCTATGGACTCCAGGACGCAGCCATGAGACACTGGGACAACAGATTCTCCGGAGACAACGTCGCCATGATTCAACAGCACCACCACCAGCAGCAGCAGCAGCACCAGCAGCATCAGCAGCAGCTGCAAGCGGCGCGATGTTCGGCGAGCGATGGGTTTGGAGTTCCCTCGAAGGGCGGCCGAGTGGGCGTCGAGGCGGCGGTGTTCGGCGCCATCGGAGCCGGGTTCGCCGCTTCGGTGTGCGGAGAACTCCCCTCCTCATCCTCTCCCTCCTCCTCCTCTACCGCCGGACTGCAGCTACAACAGCTACAGCAGCAGCAGCTACAACATCAGCAGCAGCAGCAGAGACCCGCGCAGCTCGGGCGCAACGGTGTTCTACCGCAGGGCTTCGATCAGTTTTTCGAGTCGACGGCTTACGTTGGATACCACCACCACCATCATCACCATCAGCAGCAGCAGGAGCAACACGGCTCCGGCAGCTACGCCGCCACTGCGGGGGGGTCCCTACAGGGCCAGTCAGGGGGGGTGGCGACGGCGGCTGCGGCGGCTGGAGGAGGCGAGGGGGGGCAGGCGGCGCGGGCTGCCGAGCGCGAGGAGGGCGACAGCGGCGCCGAGTCCGGCGGCGGCGACGTCGGCAGCGGCGCGGCGTCCGCGGCGTCCGCGTCGCCGCTCGCCGCGCGGCCCAGCGAGCAGAAGGCGTGCGGCTCGGCGGGTACGGGGGGCAGGGGGGGGGGTCTGGTAGGGGGGGGGGTCAGTGGCCTTCCAGCTGCAGCCCCCTCCTGCATGCCCGTGGAGGGGGGTCAGTGTGTGCGTGTCCATGCGCATACATGGACACGCACGCACACGCGCGCGCGCGCGCACACGCAGGGGTATATATACACACTGGGACACGTGCACGTACAGACACGTACAGAGACAAAGATGCCCCGCGTAGAGGGATGTGTAGGCTGTTGGGGCGAGTGTTGTTAGCGAGGAGCATCTATGAAGGCCGGCACGGCACACGATGGGGTGGGTGGCAGGCACCGCGCCCGACCGGCTTTGTCTCCCTAGTGGCGATGTTTACACACCGCACCAGGTAATTATTTGCAGCTGAGTCGACCTAGGGGATGTCCAGGACCCATTCAGATAATCGTCACTGGTGTTGGTGGGCCGTGCGCGAGCATCGAACTCGGGTCGCTGGGCTCGTAGTGCAGCGCGCTCATCGCTAACACTACCGCTCTCTTCCTGGCACACACACAGAGAGAGGGAGAGACTCCATCACGCACAAAACACACACAAGCGCACAAGCGCTAGCCCACAGGGACACTCGCACACACAAAGACTCCTTCCCTCCAGCACGTGTACAAGGAGGACCATCCCCCCTATACACACCACTTGCACGGGGACACGCCCATACTAATAACACCAAAACAGCCCCCTTCCATTCCTCGCATCATCATACAGACAACATCGTATGCACAGCCCCCACACACAGAACCTCTTACATGCAGAACATCACACCCCCCTCATAGTGCACCCCCCCCCCCCATATATAGAGGGAACCGTCATGCACACACATGCACCAACCCACCTCCCTACAAAAACAATAACACACACACACGTGTACCCCCATACACACATGTATCAACCAACCTCCATACACAACACACGTGTACTCCCATACACATACATCCATCAACCCACTTCCATACACAACAATAACACACACACACGTGTACCCACATACACACATGTATCAACCCACCTCTATACACAACACACGTGTACTCCCATACACACACACACATCAACCCACCTCCGTACACAAATAGGAATCCCAACAATAGCACACACACACACGTGCACCCCCAAATACACACTCATGCATCTACCCACCACCATACACAAATAGGAATCCCGACAAACACACACACACACGTGTACCCCCACATACACACACATAGAAACCTCATGAACACACATGTACACATAGAGCCCCTCTACAGATATGCTCATACGGCCCCACCTACATGCATAGAGACCCCACTCGATATTCATTGGAACCCACAAACAAACAAAGATCCCCGTATAGCCTTAACAGACTATTGGAAAGACACATACACACGTGTACCCCACCCCATTTCACATACGTACATAGGAAGCCCCCCCCCCCCACACACACATAGGAAGCCCCGTACACACACCCGGAAAACACAAACACACGCACATTCAGACACCCAGAACACACACACAATCAGAGACCCCCAGCACACACACACACCTAGCACACACAAACTGTCACACCGAGCACACAAACACACACAGCGCCCCCCCCCCCCCCAGAACACGTACACACACACACGGACACCCAGCACACATAATCTGGCACCCCGAGCAAACACACACACAGACCCTCAGCACACACCCACACACACACTGGAACACACACAATCTGGCAAACACACACACACAGACCCTCAGCACACACCCACACACACACTGGAACACACACAATCTGGCAAACACACACACACAGACCCTCAGCACAAACCCACACACACACTGGAACACACACAATCTGGCAAACACACACACACAGACCCTCAGCACACACCCACACACACACTGGAACACACACAATCTGGCAAACACACACACAGACCCTCAGCACACACCCACACAAACAGGGACCCTCAGCACACACCCACACACACACTGGAACACACACACAATCTGGCAAACACATACACAGACCCTCAGCACACACCCACACACACAGGGACCCCCATAAACATTCACACCGGGTTCACCCACCCGTCTCTTCCGGAACTGCACGACCTGCGTCATCCCACGTATACAACACACCTCGCCATGCGCGTTCTTGTCAACGTGTGTGTGTGTGCTATATACGCGTGCGTATGTGTTTGCATGTCAGTATATGTGTGTGTGTGTGACCTTCATGTGGGTGTGTGTGTCAGTCATCTCAGTCAGTCATCCCATGGCACCTGGGTCTGTCCCGTGACCTCCTGCCAGAGAGCCTTTCGACACTTCACGTGGTCTTAAAGTGCACGTAGCCTGGCACAAGCGCCTGGGGGACGTCACCGCCACTTAGTGGCGAATAGCCGTTGTTGTGGTTGTGGTGCTCTTCCTAGAGGTGGCTGGCTAACAGCACTTGCCCGCAACGGCGTGTCAAAGGCGATATTGGGGGGGGGGAGTCTTTGTTGTGAACGTGGTTGCGAGAGTATTTCTTCCCAGTCTTCCCACTCCACGAGCCCATAAGCACCTGGGATCCGTCTCGTGACCGCCCTCCTGTCAGCGAGCCTTCGACACTTCACGTGGCCTCAAACGTGCACCTAGCCTGGCACAAGCGCCCTTGGTCACGTCACCGCCACTTGAGTCGGCGAACGGACCCGTTGTCACTTGCGCCTTAACCGCACACACGGAGAAAGCAATGCGCACGCATTGAGGTGCACTGTATGAACTGTAGGCAGTAGCGACGCCTATCCAGACATTGGCACATTTCCCGCATTTAAAAAAAAAAAACCTACAGTATTTCATACACAAAGATAAAGATCCCCCTTACAGCCTTAACATACTTTTGTGGCAAGTGCTGTTAGCAAAAGTAGCACCGATTAAGGCCGGCACGGTGCACGGGGAGGTGGGTGGCCAGCACCAGGTTACTCACCGCAGCAGATTACTAATTTGCGGCTGAGTCGACCTAGCAGAGACCCAGGACCGGTTCAAGATATTCGTCAGCGGTGTTTGGTGGCGATGAGCGGGAATCGATCTCGACCCTTGATGCAGCTAATTCGGCTGTGACGGTCCCACCTGATGACGGAGACTTGTGTTGCCTCCGAAACGTCGTGATTTTTTATTTTATTTTTATTTTGATGTTTTACTTGCGTGACTTAACCGAAAAAACCTAAGAATATGAATCTTTGCAGTCACGAAAGCTTCAAATCTAGAATCGATCTCGAGTCGCCCGGTTCGTAGCGTAGCGCATCGCAAACCGCGACACTACCTCTCCCCACATTTTCACACAGACACTCTCGCACTCACGGATATGGAAAAGGAGACATTTGGCCGCGTATCAGCAACGTGCGTTGTTGTACGGCGTCTTCTCTCGCCCGACTGTTTCGCACGCGTGCAAACCGCACGAGTACTACGCTTACGTTGGTTAGCCTTTCCTTAACGACCATCTTGTACCAAAAAAAAACCCATATCCATCCTCTACGGTCGTGCACATTGCAGCGTTTAATGTGTGAGTGTGTTTTCTTTTCTTACTCCCGTCTACAGCTCCATGCGCCTTGCAGGGGATGGGAGACCCGAGTCTCTTGGGCTCCGATTCACGAATCCCGTTGCGCGTGTTATTGGCGAATGTTTATTTTGCGTGTGAGTGTGTGCCTATGGGGAGCGGTAGTTGTAGCGGTTCGGGAGCTGCGCTACGAATCCGGCAACCCGAGTTCGATTCCCGCTCACGGCCACCAACACCAGTGACGATTATCTGAACCGGGCCTGGGCCTCCCCTAAGTCGGCTCAGCCTCAAATGAGTACCTGGTTACGATGTATAAATATCGCCACTACGGAGATAAAGGCAGCCGGGCGTGGTGCTGGCCAACCTCGCGTGCTGTGACGGCCTTTATCGGTGCTACTCGCTAACAGCACTTGCCCCACAAGTCTGTTAAGGCTGTACGGGGGATCTTTGTCGTGTCTAGATTATTAGACAAATATGCGCCGCTAGTGTGTGTGTCGTCTTACATCACCAAAACAATTGTTGGATAGAGTCTTAAATTCATGAAGGCGACGATGGGCCAAATCGATTTCAATCCTTGACGTAATCGGCCGATGAACGCAATTTTCTGTTTTGGGCCACGCGCCTGTCCCATTGTTCGGAACGGATGGCATCGCTCGACGCCGTCGTCAGGGGAATACATCTGACGACATGTAACGTGGGGGGGGGAGTATGCGTGGGAATTGACGTTACATCTGGCGCGATGGGTTTTGACAAATCTGCTGAAGACGTGAATCCGGCTCGTAACTTTAGATTTTTTAAATTTCTGATATAAATTCGCGATGGCGGGGCTATTGGCATAGCCACCGTTGCAGGCGATGCGACTGTACCTTCACTCTGCTGATGAGACCCAGATGGTCGAAACCAGCACAAAGATTGCCTGCTTCACCGAATGTGGCTGTAAACCGTTGGTCCGGAAAGTCACTTAGGCCGATGGGCTTTCGAAAAAAACAAGTACAGTAAGTGTTATCCTTCGAGACTACATTTTTGTCTCTTTATTTAGGCGTGCATTTATTATTTTGTTGGCAATTGTCGAGCGTTGTTTGTTTGCTAGCTATTAATACATTACATGTTTAATTAACGTATTACTTTTCTCGAGCGTCGTCGATCGCGTGAATTGTCACTCACAATCGGCGATGAACCACGGGCAAGCTTGTGAAGTCAGCAGCCACGCGGCGAGCCGGCTCCAACGATTACTCCGAGCTCCGCAGTCCTCTATATATATATCTCAAGAGGTGTTCAGCCAATGTGATTGGTGGGACGAATCCGGAGCACCCCCCCAAAAAAAGCCCACGCGTGCAAGGGAGCAACGCGCTATTCCATACAGAAGGGACAGATAATATCACTTTGCTGTGCCGCATGCTTCTGGCATCTCAACGCCCGCGAGTGAAGGGAGTTGCACAACACTTCGTGTGATCCACCAATCCTTGATCACAGGCCCCGTGCTGAGCCGTCACTCTCCGACGCGTGGAGCGAATATTCACTGTTGTCTGTTTACTCCCAAACATCGGACCGAGCGTGGTCACGAGCAACGTTCTTTATTTAGCCATGGAAATGTCAGAGTCTTAGGACTCGTCTTCAGCATATTGTGATTGGAACCTTTCGGCCAATTAACGTATTCGTTTCGTAAATACGCGAGGTAGCCAGAGTAAACGGAGAATACCCCCATACTTATAAGGTGCTAAAACTATTCATCACTGATCGACATCGGCTTTGAATTCAACAAAGTAGTTGTTTTGATTAACGATGCACGGATTACGCTTAAAAGTGTCACGAAGCTATTCGCAAGAATTTCAAACTGCCCGGTTGTGTCATCCATGTTCTTCTTACGAGAATGCAGCATTTGTTAAGTGCATCACTTTCGCATGCCTCCCCACTCACTTCGGGCATACTTAGAACGATTGAATCGACGAGTGAAACCGAAGTAACCATCCAAGCGACTCGGATTTGACGCTTCGCATGTCTCCGGCCTTACGAGAGACCGTTTTAGCGCCCACGTGGAGAGTCGCTTCGCTCCAATCCGGACCACGCGCGCCGGCGATGATTGATGGCGCTACACGGCCGAGCATCTGCGCGCGTGGGGGGGTGCGAATTTAGGGGGGGCACATGGGTCCGTGCGTGTGTGCATATGCGCCTGTGTGTGTGTGTATGTGTGTGCATGTGGGGGGGGGGGAGCGGTAGTGTAGCGGTTAGCGCGCTGCGCTATAAACCCAGCTTCTCGAGTTCGATTCTCGCTCACGGCCAACACCAGTGACGATTATTTTAACCAGTCATAGACGTCCCCTAGGTCGACCCAGCCTGAAATGAGCACCTGCTGCGGTGTGTAAATATCGCCACTCGGGAGATAAAGGCGGTCGCACGTGGTGCTGGCCACTCACCCCGTCGTGTGCCGTTCCGGCCTTCATAAGTGCTCGCTAACAACACTTGCCCCAACAGTCTGTTAAGGCTATACGGGGGATCTTGTCTATTTGTTTTCTTTCCCTTTCTGCGCACGTGTGTGTCGCAACAACAGCCGGTCGGAGCCCCCGGAAGAAGCGCTGCCCCTACACCAAGTTCCAGACGCGCGAGCTCGAGCGGGAGTTCTTCTTCAGCGTCTACATCAACAAGGAGAAGCGACTGCAGATCTCGCGCCTACTCAACCTCACCGACCGCCAGGTCAAGATCTGGTTCCAGAACAGGCGCATGAAAGAGAAGAAGCTGAACAGGGATCGAATGCAGTACTTCGCGGCCAACCCGCTGCTATGAAGGGCCGTCGTTGCTTGTCGGCGAATGTCTGTGTCTGTGCGTGTTGATGATGCGCCTGTGTGTCCGCGTGCACGTCAGTGTACGTGTCTCTGTTGTAAGCGGTTAGCGCTCTGCGCTAAGAACCCAGCGGCGAAGCGAGTTCGATTATTCCCGCTCATGGCAACCAACACCAGTGACAATTATCTGAACCGGTTCTGGGCCTCCCCTATGTCAACTCAGCCTTAAATGAGTAACCTGGTGCAGTGTGTAAACATCGCCACGGGAAGAGACAGAGGCGGTCGGGCGTGGTGCTGGCCACCCACCCCCTCGTGTGCTGTGCCGGCCTTGATAGGTCTTCGCTAACAGCACTTGCCAAATTAATCTGTTAAGGCGATACAGGGGATCTTTGTCTTGTGTTTGCTGCGTAGGTTTGTTGTGTTGTGAGGAGAGGTGGCGCAGTGGTTAGCGTACAGCGTTACGAAGCCGACGACCTGGGTTTCCATTTCCGCCCGGCCACGGCTAACATCATTGGCGAGTATCGTCTCCGCTCGGCATTAAATTAGTTGTCCCTACTGCGGCGTGTGAAAACATGAAGCACTGCGATAGCAGGAAGGAAAGTACGCCAGGTGTGGTAGCGATGATGATGGCAGTCTCTCCACGGCTAGAGCGGGGATGTGTTGTGTGTGTGTGTACGTGTGTACATGTGTACATGTGTGAACGGTGGTGTAGCGGTTAGGGCGCTGCACCACGAACCTGGCGACTCGAGTTCAATTCCCGCTCACGGCCAACACCAGTGACGATTATTTGAATCGGTCCTGGGCCTCCTCTAGGTCGACTCAGCCTCAAATGAGTACCTGGTGTGGTGTGTGAACATCGCCACTGGGGAGACAAAGGCGGTCGGGCGTGGTGCTGGCCAGCCACCCCTTTAGTGTGTCGTGCCGGCCTTCATAGGTGCTCGCTAACAGCACTTGCCCCAACAGTCTGTTACAGGCTATACGGACGATCTTTGTCTTTGTGCACACAGGTTACGACACGTTACAGTTCACAAGTGTGTTCGCTGCTGATGATCATGATGATACGGGTGGTGACGAGAGCCACAAGTGCAAGACGGATGATGATGATGATGACGATAATAATTTTATGATGGTGATGATGTATAAAGTTTATATGTCATATATAAAGGTAATAATGTATTATCTTTATATAGAGATTTAATAATAATACTGTATAGACTTATATGAATATAGCCTATGAAACAATACAGCTGGCCTATTTGGTTTGAGTGCGGTGAAGATTGACTTGGGGTTTTTTTTCCCTTCTATTTACAAGAAGCAAGTCGTTTTTATCTTTTTGTACACGCGTGTTCAATTAACTATTACATAAATTATTGCAAGATGCTGTACGCGACTGATGAAAGTGCGGGTTTATTTGCGACGTGTGTAGGTAGTTAGGTGGTCACCTGTCTCGATACCAAAACGAATGAATATTCGAATGATTACAGACGCGTTGCACTCTGTTCACGTTGTGTACCCACGCGTTGACTGGAGCGGTGTTTGTTTAGCTGTGATTAAAGCCATATACGAGTGTATAAATATATAAATATATCTCCGTTTGTACAAGATAAATGCGAAAATGCAATTCACACGCACAGTGTAACAACAACAACAACGACGATCACAACAATAACAACAACAATATGGGTTACGTTGCGCGTGCGTTCGTGTTATGACGTCATATTTGAGTTTACGTTGCACGCGGTCGATGCCCGATTTCTAAGTTGTTTGGTGAATGCCAATTTTGGTTTTTATTTAGCCGGGTGGGGGTGGGGGGGGGGGGTCAGATTATTAAAAAAATATTTTTTTCTGGTGGTCGTAAAACTTTGCCGAAGCTTTCTCCATCGCCGACAAAGTACGGGAGGCAAATCGACAATTTGAAGGTGGAGTGTTGCCAATATCGAGGCGTTATGCAGATTGCTGTTGCATGGAACAGTCGCGCGGTGTGTCTGTGTGCGTTGTTGTAAGTTATTATATTGTCCATAACCCGTCACGTGGCTGTACAATGTGTGTGTGCGCGCGCGTGTGTGGTTCTCGTTTTTAGTGGGCATGCTGCGATGCTTCGTGTTTTATTATAATTAACACTACTCCTACAATTGTTATTGTTATCATTGGTATCAATATAATTACGCGCACAGTAAAGTTTATATATATTAAAGTCTCCCTTATATAAATACGATAATCCTCTACCCATTTAATTGATGGTGAATTTGGGGGGGGGGGGGGGGGGGGGGGGGACAAAAACAAGTCCATATGTACACGATAATATATATTAAACAAAGAAAACCCAACTGTGCATTCACACGCAGAGAGAGAGAGAGACACGTGACACAGTCACGTGACACAGTCACGTGTGTGTACGCTGCCCAGTTGCGAGCGGTGTGACGACACAATGGCGGCTCCCTGAAACCGAGTGTAACTCGAACACACACTCAACACATTTGTCAATAACAACCCCGTGTCGCCTTTAAAAACAACATAAGCGACGTTTCGGGCAATGCCCCTTGTTCATTGCCATTTTACCAGAAAACGGACGCCTATTAAATATATATTTCCCAATTTTTAAGGCCAAAATGCTCTTATTGACGAATATGTTTAGTTTTGCACCAACTATCTACTGGAAATCTGTGAAAACGAGCTTTATAGCTCATCGGATTCCTCCATTATGAATAAATATTCGGATTCTGATGAAGGCAGTAGTAGCAGCAGCACCAAAACAAATATCTGTTCAATCGCGGGCGCCTCATTGTGGCCATCGGAAAACGATGATGATGATAATTCTTGACTGTAAATGCTAATATGTCAGCTCTCTAGCATCTTGGTGGCGTGAGTGCGGGGTTGGTGCGGGGGGGGGGCGCAGGGGGGGGAGGGGTAGTGGTGGAGGGCGGTTATGAAACTCACAAACCATGCCAATTCCGGTGCAAGGGACCTTCTCTTAATCACCGACAATTACCGGGAGAGCTTTATACATTCGAGTGCATGAGAGTGTGTATGTTGCGTGTTTGTGTGTGTGTGTATGGGGGAGCGTAGCGGGTTAGTCGCGCTGCGCTACGAACCCGGCGAACCGAGTTCGATGATTCTCGCTCACGGTCAACACCGGTGACGATTAACTGAATCGGTCCCGGACCTCCGCTAGGTCGACTCAGCCTCAAATGAGTTAACCTGGCACGGTGTGTGAACATCGCCACTGGGGATACAAAGGCGTGGTGCTGGCCAACCGACCGCTCGTGTGCCGTGCTGACCTTTATAGGTGCTCGCTAACAGCACTTGCCCTACAAAGTATTTTCGGGCTAGAATGGGAATCTTTGCCGTTGTATGTATGTGTGTATACGGTATATATATACAATATATATATATATCAATCGTATACACTATACATAGAACGAGGGGCTGGTCATCTTAAATTTAAAGAATGATAATGTAGAATTTTCTCTCCATCAAAGGCTTTGACACGAGGCACATTTTGCAATCTAGACAACCGTAAGAGTATAGGCGAGCGTATAAAACCGAATAGGGGTCATACAAACTCAACACGTTGGTCAATAGCGCTGCCCTAAAGAGGAACGCGTGTATGTGTATGAAAATACGTTTTTGGAAATGGTCCTTCTTCATAGGACCTATGAAAAAGCAACTATGAAGAAGGCAAATTGCCATAAACGTCACTCATTTTAGACTCACAATATATATATACTCACAATATAAATATCCTCTTTCGGGCAGTGTTAACGACGGATATGTTGAGTTCTTTATTAGCTGGGGTTGTACACTTGGCTCTAACACAATATCACAAAGTAAATGTTTTTGCGGGTTTTAAATGTGAACTAGAAAGTGTTTAAAAACATTAGCTTAAACAATATATATAATTACAAACATCACGATGTGGAAAAATTTGACCGCCCACTCACGTTGTGTGTGCGTGCAATGCACGTACAGCAGCCACATGTACACATGTGTGTGTGTGTGCAATGCAAGTACAGCAACCACGTGTATACGTATGTGTGTAATGCACGTAGAGTAACCACATGTACACGTGTGTGTGTGTGTGCGTTGCACGTAAAACAACTACATATATACGTGTGTGTGAGCACAATGTACTTCAAGCAACGACATGTACACGTGTGTTTGCAATGCAAGTATAGCAACCACGTGAATACGTGTGCGTGTAATGCACGTATAGGAACCACATGCACACGTGTGTGTATGTGTGTGCAATGTACTTAAAGCAACTACATGTGTTCGTGTATTTGCGTACAATGCACGTATAGCTACCACGTGTATACGTGTGTGTGTGTATACGTGTGCAGGAGTGTGGTTTGGAATGCATTTAACTCCTGCCGAAGGGCACATCCAGAAGTATCTTTTTTTTACAAACTTCGAAAGTTTATAAACGATCTTTTAGTGTGTGTCTGTTCACGCTGCATATGCTATGATGTGTTTGCCATTCCTGCACCAAACGACACGGAAGAGGAGCGTCTAATACCAGTCACACCAACACCCACTGTGAAACACAAAGGTAAAAACTACTTTTATAGAACGCGGTTAGCAGCTCAGAGAGTGTGGACGTGATGTTGCTCCAATAACTATCTGGTTTTGTTTTCTTTTACGGTGGGGGGGGGGGGAGGGGGTGCTTTTAATAAACGACGGCACATTCAAATACATCAGCAAAAATAAGAATCCTGTTTGGAATTTGTCTTACACGTTGTATTTAAATAAACAGCAAAAAAAGGAAGTGTTTTACGTGATTTTATTTTTACACTATTTAACGCCGATCATGTCTGTATCCTATACACTGGAAATTCTAAATGTTTGACTTGCCAACTGAACTGTAAATAAAGGTCGGTAATCTTGATTTGAAGCTTTCGTGACTACAGGAGTCCATACACTTTGGATTTTTCGGTAAAGTCACGTAGGTATATAAAGGTCGGTAAGTATCACCCCTACGTTTTAAAATTCATATTTTCGATTGTAGAATCCTATTAAATGAAGCAAACACTATTATAGACTGCGTAGATCACAAATAAAACATTTAAACGGACGGTTAACTAAGTTGCCTCTTTGACAGGTCAGGTCAGGTAAGTCGATTGATGCGAGGTCGCTTTCACAAGTATAGGACATGGACATATTAACGCAAAACATTTACAAGAAAACATGCAAGCGGAAAAGTTTTTCTGCAATCTCCACAACAACAGAGCTGATACCCAGCAACAATAAGTCGCATTGTGCATACACGCAAAACAATAAATAAACCTCGACTCTTAATTAAAAAACACCCTTTCATACACACCACAATCTTAACACGATGTAACAGAACATACGTCTGTTACATTTATATTTACTATAATTATATATGCTATTTTAATTGTTGGCGAATGTAAGTCAAGACGATCAGTGTGTATGTATATAATGTATAGAGCCTATGTACATAGGCCACGCGTGACACACGTGCATATACAACCGTATGAAATGGACTAATAATTGAAATAGTTGAATGATTAATTCATGACAAAGCCTTCTTGCGCAGTGACCCGGTCGAGAGTGTGAGGCACGTGGAGGCCTAGCCATTCAGGCCTGAAGCCTCACGCAGTAGGCCCATGGCTGCATGCTCACAGTGTGTGCTGGCAATATTGTATGGAGCCCCTCGCTTATTCATGAAGTTAGACCTGCAGTGACCGATGTATTGAACGATGACGATCATCATCGTCGTCAGCCATGAACTGTCTACTGCTGGATGAAGGCCTTCACAATCCCTGCACCGGTCTGGCGACGCAATAACCTTAGCTAGCCATCATTTCGTCTCTCTCAGGTGAGGTCCTCCCGGGCGCGTTCCCTCCTTTGGCTGTCACTCCGATGTTCGTCTCGGCCGTGGGTCACCACCACCTTCCTTCGAAGCCTCCGACGTCTCCTACCCAGGGGCCCACCGACGCACGCGTCGTATTCTCATCATAACAGTCGATGCGATGTCTCCAACCCTAGGTGTTCATGTGCGTACGGTACGTCGAACTTCTTTTGCGCCATACGTGGCCAACCGCTCGCGAATCGGAGGTGCGGGCAGGACAACAATCTAGACAGACACACACACAAAGATACAGCAACGTAACCCAGTGTGCTACAAGAGAACGTTTTAAATCGATGTATATAATACCTGCTATTAAATACAGGATGAAAAGAAACACGGGCATTGTTTAATAAAATATAACAAAAACAAGTGCAGACAGCATGGCATAAAGGTGCCTACGTGGAATTAGAACGAGATGCACAAATTGGAAAACGTACATCGTAATTAACATTGAATTTATGCCAATATTCTGATATCCACCGCACTTGTGTATAGAAAAATAACTCCTTATAGACAATGCTAATCACACAGCAGTACACCACAACTTGAATCGGCAACGCTCCTAAATGCGAAGTGACTCAAGACGCGGTACAATTGCGTGAATCATGGGCATGGAAGTTTGAAAAGAAAAAGATAATTTGCGTGGATAAAGTTCGAGGTGAGAGGCCTCGGGCCAGAGAGGAAATACATGACAGGTAAGAGTTATAATTAAGGCACGAGAAGCATGGGGAGATAGATGCTCGAGATTGCAGCGAGGCAGACAAGAGGAGGGAGGCATTGATCATGGAGCAACCGCGTCAACCACGCAAGAGACGTGGCATCGTTTGTGAATGAAGGTGGATTGGGCGGCACACGTCACTGTAGGGTGACGATAGCAGATGGCAGCGTGGCGGCCCAAATGAGGAACGCTCCAGTGACAACG